CCCAACCGTTTTTTAGTCACGACCCTTTTACAGATTTGCTCATAAGGTCGCGACCCCTCTACCCCTCAATAAATAAAAAACAAAAAATCTCTATTAAAATATTAATATTTCGTAACTAATTACAAAAAGTCAATTTTTATTTTGTAAATGTGATGACTGAGCTTGCATCTCCGTTTTGAAATTGTTGGGGTTCTTGAGTTGTTGTTAAAAAGAGTTGAAAAACCACTTTCACGAAAGTAGGTAGAGGCCAGGGTTGCCAGACGTCCCGACTTAGGCGGGACAGTACCGATTTTTAGAGATATTTCCGAACCGTCTCGATTCACGAAATGAATGCCAAATGTCCCAATTTTTAAAAATGTAAGGAAATATATCTCGATTTCCGGCCGACAACACCCTTTTAGGCTGCGTTCCCTACCTATATTGTTTTTTTTTCCTATCCGCTGTCTCGCGTTTTCAAAGGTAAAATCTGGCAATCCTGCATGTCGGGTCGTTTGATATTAAAAAAAATATGTATTACAGATTCTGTATTACCGGTCCAATGTGGTCAGGCCTTAAATATTGCTGAGTTCTGTTTGATCGGCTTCAATTTGAAATTGACGTAAATAACACTGATGACATTCCAAGTTCTACTCGATTGGCTTATTGTTCGTGTGCTAGATAAAATGTCGTACGTTACCTCTACTTAATGCGGTTTCGAGTTTTTCATTACAAAATTCTGTATTACTGACCCAATGTTGTCATGTCAGGCCGTTTGATATAAAAAAAAATATTACAGAATTCTGTATTACCAGCCCAATGTTGTCAGGCCTTAAAGGTACGAAAATATAGCAGAGTTCTGTTTTGAAATTGACGTAAATGACACTGATTACATTCCAAGGCCTACTCGATTGAGCTAGCGGTGTTGCCACATGATAAAATTCAATTTTTGGAAATCCCCATCTTTTGATTGGTTCATCAAATGAATCTGAAAACCAATCAAGAGCCGAGAATAATTAAAATTTGAATTTTAAAGCCAATCAAGAACTGGTAAGCGGCGTTGTCAAATGATGAAAATAATTTCAAAAAATGAAAAAAGCAACCCCAAATTAAACGGAAATTCCCTAAAAATAATAAATTTCCCTTGAAAATCCTTGGAAAACCTGTTTTCAAATAAAAGTTTTTGTCACTTACCTCGATTGGAAAACTGGAAATTTCTAGCACAAAACGAAAAAAATCCAAAGTCCCGCACTTAAAAACACTCTTTTCCATTTGAAAAATCGGAGTGAAGTTGGCTACAAAGCAGTGTTGCCAACTAAAGAAAAATCGTATTTTAGTGAAAAAGCTGATTTTTAAAATTAGAAATTCCCTAAAAAGTTGTTTTTTAGTGATTTTTTTTTTTGCGGGCGGAACACGGAAATTTTTGGCTGGAAATGAAGAAAACTCAAAGCCTCGTACTTAAAATCTGCTGTTTTCCCGTCCAAAATCCATGAAGAAGCAAAAAATCCAAACAAAAACCTCTGAAAAGGACATTCCAAAGCCTACTTGATGAAACTTGAGTTTTTGTCACTTACCTTATTGGAAAACTAGAAATTTTTGGCACAAAATGAAGGAAATTCAAAGCCTCGTATCAAAAATCGGGTTTCCCGACCAAAAAAGCCCTGGAAAAGCGGAAAATAATAAAAAAAAACTCTAAAAAGGACATTCCAAAGCCTACTTGATAAAACTTGAGTTTTTGTCACTTACCTCGTTGGAAAACTGAAAATTTTTGGCGCAAAATGAAGGAAACTCAAATAAGCCTCGTACTTAAAACCAGTTTTCCTGATTGAAAACGACCTGGAAAAGCGGAAAATCTGAAGAAAAATCAGGATAAAACACTGAAAATGGCTGACCGTCAAAGCTAACAAATGATTTACTTACTTGATTGAAGTTAGCCACAAGCGGTGTTGCCACATTAAAACTTCCAGAAAAAGTATTTTAAATGGGATTTTGCTAAATATTGCATTTAACACTGAAAAGTTTTATTAGAAAATTAAAAAAATCAAAGCCACGTACTTAAAACCAGTTTTCCCGACCGAGAAAGACTTGGAAAAGTGGCAAATTCAAAAAAAAAAAAAACGTCGAAAAAGGACTCTCCAAAGTCTACTTGATGAAACTGAATTTTTGTCACTTACCTCATTGGTAAAGTAGACATTTTTGACACAAAATGAAGGAAACTCAAAGCTTCGTACTTTAAACCAGTTTTTCCGACTAAAAACGGCCTGAAAAGCGGAAAATGCGAGAAAAAAATATGAATAAAAACACTTAAAATGGCCGACTGTCCAAACCTGAAAAACCATTTTAAATGGGATTTTGCTAATTATGGCATTTAAAACTGGAATTTTTTGTTGGAAAATGAAGAAAACCGTACTTTCACCAGTTTTCCCGACTGAAAACGCTTTGAAAAAGTGGAAAATCTGAGGAAAAACTGCAAAATTGCCGACTAAAAGCGACGTTGCCACATGACATCGATAACATTAATTTTAAATAATTAGATTTAATTAAAACTTGTCAAATAAATAGTTAATAACGATTATAAAACAATAAATTCCTTTGGAAACTTGTTTTCAATTGAATTCCAATGAAAATAACATATTACAAGGCTTACTTATCGAGTATAAATGAGTAAGACAAAGACAACAATAAAGTAGTATACTATTGCAAAAATATCAAAAGCGATTATACATGAGTTAGACAAAGACAGAAACAATGTAGGACGTTATAATTCAATTAAAACCAAACACAAAGGAAATAATTTGATAAAGTAGTACCCACTTAAATTGATAACAGAAGTACTACTAAATTAAATTCCTTATATATCATTCATATTTGAGTACCGTGCACTACTCGACTATTGCCTACTGGTCGTTTTTTTAATTTAAATCCGATTTTAACGTAATTAGGCTCTAATCAGGGTTGCCAGCGGTGGGACTCTGTAACGCATAGAAATCGTTATCCTTATCGCTATGGCACTTGCTGTCTTCTTCTCTCTTTTCGGAATCAATAGAGAGAGGACGTCAATAGAGATAGAGAGAATATCTCTATTCGTTACAGAGTCCCAGCCCAGACGTCCCAGTTTAGGCGGAACAGTCCCGATTTTTAGAGATATTTCCGAACCAACCCGATTCACGAATTGAATGCCAAATGTCCCGATTTTTAAAAATGTAAGGAAATATATCTCAATTTCCGGCCGACAACACCCTTTTAGGCTGCGTTTCCTACCTATATTGTTTTTTTTTTCCTATCCGCTGTCTCGCTTTTTCAAAGTAAAATTCTGGCAACTCTGGTAGAGGCAAATGATATTAGTATCCGAAAAGATAGCATGAGCAGGGCGACATAAGAATATGAACTATGCATGGTACATAAAAATTCAGTCAAGAATTATTCCTGAAATAGCGCAGGTGCTGTGGAATCATTCCTCAGCTCTAAAAATGTATCCTGCATTTCATCAGGAACGTTGGCAACATCTAACGAGGCTTGGAACGGGTTCCTTACTACTGCAGCTTTCTGTTTAGATAACTCGGAAATAACGCCCATTTCATTCTCAAGGGATTGAAAGTCAATTTTCTCTTTTAGATTCTCCACATTTTCTGACCCACCGGTTGGGAACCGCTGATCTAAAGAGATATATTTATAGCACGCACTTCTTTGAATTATTACAGTGTTAACATACCACCGATTGCCTGTTTGGTAACGATAGACTAAAAAAATAAATAAGGTAAGTCAAACTTTGCTGGACTTCATGAAAAATATCGAAGACAAAAGACAAGAAGAGGAAGACCAAAAATAGAAAGAAAGACAAGAAGAGAAAAATCGAAGACAAAAAGAAAGCCAAGAAGTCTGAAGACGGAAAGAATATGAACGGCCAATGACATTTTCATAACTACAACAGGTTCTGATCGAAAGCAAACCGTAATATATATCTGAAGAACAAACCAAAGAATCCCAGAGAAGCCGGATAAGAAATCAAGAATAGAGTTGAAGGAGTACGTGAAGTAGTAAGGACTGTTCGTCAGGAAGTTGGAACTGTGCATCAGGAAGTTGGAACTATTCGACAGCAAGTTTGAACTTTCAAAAGATAATTAAAAAGTTGGAACAAGGACTCTTTCTCCAGCATCCCAACAAAACTATGGTGCGCTTGTTGATGCTTCAACTCCTGATTAAACCTCCATATTTCTTATCACCGTCCTAGTTTCCTCAATTCATAGACTAGAAATGCTATAGGAATTGAAGAAAATAGGCTGGTAATAAAAAATATCTACAAGCGTTCAAATCCTGAAATATATTTCGCCAATAAATGTTGACCTCCTAACGTCACCGATAAAATCTCGAATATTTGTCAACTGTCAACTACATTTTAATGAACTCAGACATTTGCCTACACTGATCATGAAAACAGATGTACCTAACCGATCCGGGAGGCCATAACTCTGAATTTCGTCAAGCACTTGAAGCAAACCTGCGTTAATGATGCGATGAGATCGGTCTTAATTCGAAAATAGATCATGGCAGCTGTGTTTTAGAAGAGGTTGTTTTGCAAAGTACCAGGGCAACTGAATAGTTGAGGATTTTAATGAAATTTTCTTGTACTTATTTTTGATTTTCCGAAAATATTTCAAATCCAATAATAATATGAAACCTCTACAGCAATAAAAAGCGATTGGACTGCTAATAAAAAATAATGTTGCAATATATAAATAAAATGCTGCCGCTACTCAGTCCCCCTGGTTCAAGAAAATAACTATCGGACTAAGTTATGAGACTGCCTATAATTTACTTATGTCGTAAAACCTATAAAGTTTACGCACGGTTAACCTTTTGCTTGAAGAATCAGCTGGTAGAAAGGTTTCCGAGCATAAATCTTTTTATTTATGTAGGCCTAGTTCACATAAAGTTTGTTTTGAACTTTTTTATTGAGCAATTTTGTTCGATTTAATCGAAATGTCTTGATAAAAATTGATGAATGGATATATAAAACACAAATATGATTGTAACAATAAAAATATATTTTTCACTTTTAGATAATAAGGTATACATTCATGATATGGTATGACAGATTTATTTTGCTTACAATTGGTACAACTAACCCAAACAAATTTTGGCCATTCGAAAGTTCCTCTTTATTTGGGGAATCAGCAGCTTCTTATTAAAACTTTTGAATGGCCTATTGAACAATTCAAAACAAAATATAATGCAAATTACATAACAAGAAAAGTTGTCTTCAACAATATAGCGAAAATATAAGTTAATTTTTCATTATCAGAATGAGATCTGTACAAAAATATTATTCGAGATACAATAAGTTTAAACTTAAAGTAGTGACTATGTTTATCCCATGAGTAATATGTACATTTTAAAATTATATAGGGATAAATCAAATCACTCTTATTATATAAGTATTTCAATCCTGATTATACACAACCAATTTTATTATTATGATAAATATTTACAATGTTGAATAATCAGAGAGTCAAAATTTTTGAATGAGGAGCATTTATTGTGATTTCTGTACAATATTTCAAGCTCTTAGTATATATAAGTATCACACATAAATATTTCACATGAAGAAGAAGGTTAACTTAAGGTATTAACATTAAAAAAACAAGATTCTGAAATTTTTATATCTTCCTTCATTCATGCTTACAGAATCTTGTACCATACAACACAGACTAGTTTGTTTATTTACAAAAAAAATAGCACAGCGCAATTATTTTTTTGGCATTTTTAACCATCTTAAGGGTGCATTCCTGGAGAAGAACCTAATCTAGGTCCATACAAAGAGTAAGGATTTAAATAATGAGGTAATGCAGGATGTCCTAATGGAAATCCACCTAGAGATGGAGGTAACAAAGATGGTTTACCATACGGATGATATCTGGCTGTAGCTAAAGGCGACAAAGGAGGTGTAGGATACGTTCTATGCAATAAAGGATGAGATAATCCAGGAGGCGTTAGAAGCGATAAATTTGAACTAGCTTCACTTGTCACAGCACTAGTATGAGTCCTTAAATGACCTAACAATTCTTCTGAGCTGGAAAATCTTTTACCGCAATAAGCTGCGTCGCCAGAAATCCAATTGCAAACGTACGGAAGATGACTAGCAGCTGCAAGCGCAGCAAGTTGCGCGTGAGCATAAGCTGCTGCAGCTGGACTGTAACTAGCTACTGAGGTGGGCACTTTAGCGTGATCACATTGAGAACAACCTGCTGGGCACGGAGGTTTTTGAGCTAATAAATGAGAACTCATACTGCATCCAGTACAATAAGGGTCACGACATGCTGATAGGGAGTCTTGAGCCTTAAGTCTTCCATAAGAGAAATACGGGCTTAGAGCGCTAGTTCTAGACATTAGGCTTGAAGTCATTAAGTCCATTGGCAAGCCTGGAGGGAAACCTGGATAGCTTGATGTGCTTAGAAATGCTGAGCTTACTGGAACCCCTGGCTTGAATGTTCCTAATGGCAAGTCTTTGATGGCTGGATCGGATGAGCTAGTTAAAATATTTGGAGTGAACGCTGTTTTGCTTCCTGAAGGTGTTTGTGGACTATTACGACCTCCAGAAGCTTTTTCTGGGCTCTTTGAAGTTCTATGAATATCTTCTCCAGGCGATTTTCGTTCTACGGATATTGTCGGGCTCTCTCTAGCTGAGGCAGCACTTTGATTACTACCACACCGGCCATTAACTTGTCCATTTTTCATTGAACTTGGAGTCCTAACCCTATGAGCAGAAGCTGAGCTACTGGATCTCTCCTCCGGAGTACGACTTTTTTCGCGGGGGTTTTCCAAATGCTTGCTGTGATATGAAGGAGACTTTAGGTCGGAGGATTGCGTGGAACCGGACTTGTCTTTGGACTGGTCGGATTTTTTGGACGATTTTTCAGCACTTTGCAGGAGCTTGGCGTTAGGGGTGTCTGCGCCGATTTGGGAGCACGTTTGAGCTAGGAGGGCCAGTGGACTTTTCTTGGCATCAAGCTGGAACAGAAAAAAATATAATAGAGTTTTTTATTTTGAATTTATGATGGAAAAGGTAGATATTGTTTTAAGTCATTATTATTTAGGTCATCTACTGAAATAATATTCCTAGGAAAGTGTCAATACTTCAAACACAGGCACATGAATCATTGACAACTTATTCTTCACAAACAACCTATTCAATAGTAATATTGAACTCATAACAAACAGTTGGCTTAGAGATAATAATAATGCGCTGCCGACATATTTCCTTTGTTCGAAGTTACCTCCGCGACATTGATTAATGGCGTCAGCTAACGACCTAACCTACAATTTATCATTTATCAAACTAAAAGCCAATTGAAAAGAATTATTATTTTATATACAGGCTTTCCCGGAATGGACGGGAACGTTCATTTATTATTGATGGTTTTCTGGTTGATTGATGAATCGGAATCAATCGAGCGATGGCTATATATATTTTTTTATGATTCAATTTGAAGATTAAGTAACCGGATTAATGATATTTTTGTTTTCTCATGCTTAATTATTGCTATAGAGTGTGTGAAAAAAAAAATCAAGTCTCTGTAACAAAATGCCAAAACCTTCTAAGAGGCTTAATAAAGTTATGTACCTACAAAATGTCTCCAACTCAAGAGCTTATTAGCACAAAACAAACTAATTACCATTAAAATCATTGTAACATTTCTACATAAAGTAATTATTTATGCCGACAACAACAACCAACTAAAAACACGGCGACGGCTTTTTTTCTGTTAATTAACACCATTATCCGTCTAATAAATCTCTGTCAGATTTTGCCTAATCTTCCTGTATACGAATATATCATGCACACTTGGCATGCGGGGTATTTATTTTGCCAACACACACGATTCGTTTGTGTAAGACGAGAGATTGCGTGAAATGCGAAAAGTTTTATAATTATTGGACATAATGATTTATGAGTAAATTATGTGTGTATTGGTATTAATTATTATGGCGTATAATAAGAATGATATACAGCGCGATTTCTTCGCTTCTGCCCTGTAAAAGTGATATTGAAGAAATAATTGAAAGTCTGCTCTCGATTGTAAGGGATTTCTTCCAATGATGTTCATCTCATTATCAGAAATTTAAGACACTTTGGCTGTTGTCCCAATATAACCAGGGTTCTGGTTTCGCGGTCCAAAAGTAATCAAATTATTCTGGTTCCTGGAAAAGTGGTTACTTTTGGACCTTGGTTTCCTGAAATCTGGTTAACCAAATGTCTAAATAATTACCGGCTATTGGATGTTGGTTCTTTAAAATCTGTCAATTATTTTCTATTTAATATTCGCGTTTGCCAAGTACCCGAAATTTTCATTAACCATCTGTCAACCGATTCGGGTATTTTGGTTATTTTCGGACCATAGCCTTTTTATACTAAAATATAAGTTATCTAAATTTATTTTACGAAGATCTTTGATTTGATACCCCAGAAAGTAAATAATATATGCAAATTGCTAAATAGAAATCCCCAAGATAGGATCAGAAGATTTATGAACAGGAACATTCATAAATATTCATTGAATTTATTTAAAATAAGTAGGTAATAAAGATCTGAGCCATGTTAGAGTATGGTATTTTGACATCTATTTTTTTTCGATTCTTTACTTTTCAGTGTGATACTACCATTAACCATTTTCTACGCCCTCGAATACATTTTTGATAAAATTCACAACAGATAGGTAAATATGAACTGTCCATTGTTAAATTAGCTTTTTTGGTGATTATTCACGAAAATGGAATAGCGACTTGATTGAACACCTTAGAAGATGATTCAGATTTGATTGAGGTTGCTTTTTTAGCGTCTGTTGGTTCAAAGTTTTGGTTAAAACTTCAACTAAGCATAAAAATTATCGAAAAGGCAAACCTGAAGTAGGTATAAGTACATAGAATCAAAAGTTACAGAACTTGGACAATTTCCTTTACAAAATGCCTTGAACTTGCACTTTTCTCTCATTAGATCTTTCAGTAATCTTAAAAAACCTCATTCGAAATAGGTAAGTAGGTATCTGAGTTAAGGTCACTAAGACTCGGTTTATTCATCTTCATATAAACTGACTGCTGTCTACAAGATAAATTTACCAATTTATAATCTTATTGGTCGACGGATAACTGGCCAACCAATAGGATAAAAGATTTCGTTTTCATATGTCAGATTGCATTAACCTGACAGTTTATCAGAAGACGAATAAAAAGTAAATTTCTTATTAGAAGGAAGCAATATTTACCGTTGTGGGCAATGGAGTCAAATATTCCGGCCTCAAATACTGATTACTTGAAGTCAACATTTTCTTGCCTAACTAACAGAAAACCTAATCCAAAAGTGCTACTACTTCAAATAGTATCCCATAGGGAATCCTTTATATGGTTCAAGTTAAGCACACTTTCAAACACTTAAGTAATCCAAAAGTTCAAACGAGTATTCAAAACACTAAAAGTCAATTATTGTTATTTACCAACAACAAAAAACTGTATCCGAATATTTCCGATTCACGAACAAAAATCGATTCGTTTCTCTTGGGTGCGATGCGTTCGTGGCAACAGCAAGACAAAACTGAACTGAATGGATCGCGTCGGCTGTGTAGACACGGCAACGGCAGGTTTTCACATGCGACGAAGCTGGTGACGTAACGTAACTTCCCCTTCCACATTTCGGTCGCTTGTTCTGTTGTTTGACACCCTTCGTAGCCCGCTTGATCTGCTGAAAGGTGTTGCGGCGACGTGTTTTGTTTTGATGACCGATGACAGGTCTTGTGTCTGATGCCTCTGCGCCTTCCCAATCGGACGGACCCTTTCGCCCTTTAAGTTTCAGGTTTCTTTTTTCCTTACTTTTTTAGAAGGGAGGGTTTATGATTTGGGTTTGTATATAAATATATAATTTTCAGTCTATAATGTTTTAAGTTTTCCGATCTCCAACCATATCCAGAGTCAATATCAAGCCTCTGTATCTGATTTTCTCGTCTACTCTGACTTTTCTTTTCCTAACGACTTCGTAAACACATCAGAACAGTTATCATTGGAACAAATTTAAATAATTTCTATTATTTTTTTTCGTATAAAGGTCTTTAATGAAATGATACTTAATTTCTATGTGTTTACCTCGCTTGGAGTTCTCAAAGTTTTTAATCATGGAAATAGCACCTTGATTGTCTATTTTTAAAGTAACAGGTTTGCACTCGCCAAAGTCTGCTAAAATACCTCTCAAATTGACCACCTCCTGAGCTGCGCAACCAGCTGCTACATACTCAGCCTCCATTGAAGAAGGGGCTACCACAACTCTGCTTTCGTGAGTGCCAAGCTATTGGATTCCCGTCATGGAAACATATGAAACCAGTTACGCTTATCCTTGTCTGCCTATCACCAGCCCAATCTGCATCACACATAGCTTCTAAGCCTCTATCATTTTTCCCAAACATCAATCCATAGTTCTTAGTTCCATTAAGGTAGCGCATAATCTTTTTTCCAGCTTTCCATGCTTGTATTGTTGGCTTGTCCAGGTATCGGCTTAAGTAACAAACACTATAAACGATATCTGGTCTTGTCACCAATGCCAAGTACATCAGACTGCAAATCAGCCTTCTATACGGGATATATTCTTCTATAGGTTGTCCTTCATCCACGTGGAAATTTACTTCCATCGGTGTTGCTATGGGTCTACTATTTTCCATAACGAACTCTTTCAATAGTCGTGTCATCATTTTTGTCTGGGTAATCTTGATACCTCCTTCATTTTTATTTATCTCCATTCCCAGAAATGTCTTCACTTCAGTTATATTCTTAACCTTGAATTCATTATCCACTGTCCACTAATTTGTCCACTTTTTCTTTTGGTCCCGTTATCAATGCATCGTCCACAAACAACACCAAATATTGTGATCTTCTAAAATTTAGTCTCAACATTTCTTCACTGAGCTTCATGTTCCAACACTTCGGTGCGTTACGCAGTCCATACAATGCCAGGTTAAGTTTTAAATACTTTGAGTCGCTTCTGAGTCCCTCTGGCCTCTTGATATACACTTCACTGTCCAATTGACCATTTAGGAACGCGGTTGGCGCATCTATCTGGCTCAGTACCCAGTCTTTTTGCACTGACACTGAAATTAAAAGTCTAATTGTAGGAAGTCTGCACACTGGTGCATAAATAAACGCTTCGCCCTCTTGTGGTACCTGAAAACCTTTTGCTACAAGTCTCGCCTTCTTCGTGCCGTCCTCTTTTTCCTTAAAAATCCATCTGTCGTTCAGGTAATTCGGTTGGCGTCCAGATATGTAATTTTTCATGAGATTTCAACTCACTGTTTATTTCTTTTTGCCACTGTTCAGATTCACTGGCATCTTGATATGTCTTTGGCTCTTCCTGACTCTCTGAGATTAAACAATATGCCACATACAGCTCATAATCATTCAGGTTTTTAGGCTTGCTTGTATTTCTTCTAGATCTAGTTACTGCACAATCTCTCGCTAGTATATATTCAGGATCACTTGAGCTTCCACTGCTTTCATCTAAACTTTCATATTCTATATCTTCATCTCCCTCAATTTGTCTCTCTTCTTGAGTATTCTTTGTCGCATTCGAATTTCTATATTCTTCTACTATTATAAGTATATAATTATTTTCCTGTGGGTCTAAAAGTCTGGCCTTGACAAAATCAATTTTTACGTCACTTACGGTTTCTAAAGCAGTAATAACTGCGTCAAATTTCGACAGCAATAAATGACCAACTCTATCACTTTCATCTATGTTTGAGCCTAAGTCTTTGAGCTCCCTTATTATTGTGTCGAAATTTAGGAAATGGTCTTCCAACTTCTCATTCATACCTGACTTCAATCCAAGTAATTTCCTCCAAAGTGATAACTTCGTGAATGCACTATTTCTCACAAAAACATCCTTCAAAGCAGAAAGATGTTCCTTTGCAGTTTTGCAATCTTTGAGGATGTCCAGATGTTTATCCGAAACACTTTGCACAATCACTGACTGTGCCTTAGTATCTAGACGAAAAAACTTATTTTTCTCCTCATTTGTTGCTCCTGCTAGTGGTGGATCATTCAGAGCTTCAGATCATTGTTCCCTTTTTAACAGAGTGACTATATATGGAAATGTCAATTATTAAAATTAGATGCTTCCAGAATAGGTACTGCTAAACTATTAAACGCAACCATTTTTCACAACTAGAACTTTCGTTCAGAATGCTGAAACTTTTCAAAGACAGATACAATGAGCATCAAAACTTATATGCAACACTTCTGCCATTCTTTGTACATGTCCGAACCAAAACAGTTGTTTGTCCGAGTGGTTTTGCCCTATAAGACAATTGGATACTGCGCTAATTGCATACCGGTTTCGAGCGTATTGGCTCTCGTCAGTGCAACATAAAGCCATATAGCATGTGGGACCATCACTTTGCAGTCCTATAAAGCAAAATAGGTTTATCAAAATCTCATCGTTGGTATCTTCTGTAAATCTATTTCGCTGAGCCATTCCTGGTGAGCGGCTGGCTGGATTGTATCCCAATGGAAATCTACGAAAACCAAGGCTAGAAGTCTATTGTATTTGATCGTTTCAAATGACACTTTTATGCTTTGAATGGTATTCACTGGTCAAGTCATCTACGGATTTAGTGCTTGGAAAAACTGAAAAGTTTGAACAGAAGGCTCAAAAGACTTATAGGTCGGTATAGTTCTGCAATTCGGCTATACCTTCTTTTTTGTTTGGGTGGATCATTATGGAATTGTGACATTTATTTTGGATTCAGTTATTGAAAAGGGTTTCCAGTTTTTGGAACGAACGTTATTAGCGTTGTCCTCCTATTTTCATTACATCAACACATTGTCTTCACCTGGTGCTTTATTGCTTTTGGTTTTCTCCAACACCGATTCTATTTCTTCTGGGCACTTCCTTTGAGCCTTGGTTGAGAATTTCTTTTTTGGACGTTATGGACTCTGATGGATCTTGTTCTTTTTCAACTTTGATGACCTCGTGGACTCTCATGTAGTACTAATAGTAAGCTACTGCTGCCAACAGAAAGGAAATACTGCGCATTGTAGAAGAGTTTCATAAGTAACTCTTCCCCATTTTCCTTTCTGTTGGTTGTAGTTCTTCCTTCTTCTATATCTTCAATCTTCCGTATTTCCTTGGTTCCATTTGTGACTTTTCTACGACGGACTTTCATGCTTTTTTGGCCACCAGTAGGTAGTTTACAGGTATACTGGGCCAAAACAGAGACGAGACAAGCTTAATTTTGCTGGTTTTGTGCTAAATTTTGCTGGTTTTGTTCTGGATTTTGCTGGTTTTGTTCTATATTTTGCTGGTTTTATGCTAGTTTAGCTGGTTTTTACTGGGTTCGTGCTGGTTTAGCTGGTTTTGTGCTGGATTTTCTTGGTTTTGTTCTGGATTTTGCTGGTTTTGTTCTAGATTTTGCTGGTTTTATGGTAGTTTAACTGGTTTAGTGCTGGTTTTCACTGGTTTCGTGCTGGTTTTGTGCTGAATTTGGCTGGTTTTATGCTTGTTTGGCTGGTTTTCACTGGTTTCATGCTGGTTTTGTAGCATTTTCAATTTCTCTTCAAATATGCTACTTTGTTTTGCTCTAGTGGAAATGATTCTTTATAGAACCAGAGTTGCCAGATGAAATAAAAAAAAATTCGTGAGAATCGAGAAAGAAAAATCGTGAGACTAAAAATTGCTTGACGCCATCTTTATTTAAAACATGTTACAGTAGAGGAGTTATTTTGTGATCTTTTACAGCATTTTTGATGTTTCTACATACTTTTATCATAAAGATCTAGACTCTGTAGAGGATGCAAAAATGCAACCATGAGATCAAATTTTGTGTTTTCTACATCCTGTAAGCCTTGTTGGGATATTTTTCCATAATCCTCTACATTTTTTGATTGTGTAGATTTTGTAGAGGACACAAAAATCCAAAAGAGAATCATTCAAATAAAGATGGCGTCAAAATTTGAATATTTCAGTGCTGCCCACATAACATGATTCAAAACCGATAACTGTTAATGAAATTAAAATTCAAAATGGCGTCTGAATCGATTCGATCTGTCAAAAAATTTCAAAGCTTAATCTTTCCTGGCTCTTGATTTAAGTTCAAGATACGGGAATAATCATAATTTGAAACTTTTGAATACAAAATTCCATTGACAGTTTTTCATGTTGACAGTACTGACAATTCAAATTTCGACACCATCTTCATATTGTGTAGTCTTTGCAAAAATTAACCAGATGTAAAATTGTGAAACAAACTAAACTATGAACTAACAGTAAAAAAATTCTCTTAAATTTCAGCCAATAGGATCGGTAATGGATAAATCTGGTTTCTAGTTCGAATAACAAGAAAGCCATAAGTGGCGATTTCGATTTGATTTTTTTGACAAATGATAAATAGTGTTTCACACATCAACTAGACATAAGCTGACGTCACACACATAACCTCACTTTTGATATTTTATGTATGTGACGTTTGCTAATACCCAATTGTCAAAAAAAATGCAATCAAATCAAAATCGTCAGAAAATAAAGCACAACAATGTTCTTTTATAGAT